AACAGACGCGGAGGGAAGGGAATCCACTTAGCCTCCCTTATCAGATCCAGGGTGACAAGATATCGGATGTCTCCATCAAATTGGGCGTTCAGCAGGACGATAGCTGGGCTAAGGCTTGCAAGTTGACGTTGACTTGCTGCAAATTCTTGCTCGCGCATGCAAGCAATGTGAGTGCGTCATCGACGGCGAGGGCGAATGCCTTGGGGTTGTAAAGCTTTTGAGTATATCGTTAGGGTCTCGGCGTTGACATCCTTTTTGGGGGACGGGAAATGTGCATTGATATGGATGTTACGAATGTGTATGAACACGGAATTGGTTGCACGATTATGATTACGAGGCGTACGAAATATTGGACTGCTGCGGAACATTCGCTTGGAAGAAAGTACGTAACGCATAGATGGGTTGTAGGAAGAGCGAAGCATGGTTATCTGGAATAGGCGCGATGACTTGAATGAGCCATGTAGAACATAATGGGAACCATAATACCAACGAGTCTAACATTTGGACAAACTCGTTACTCGAGGTAGTATTTTTGAACAACTTACCCGTAGAAGTAGACTATCTGAGCCTGAAAAAAAAACGACTTCCAACCACTCTTTAGTTGTCAAACTCGTTCCCTCACCACTTCCTGTCTGCCTCTTCAATATTATCACCAGCCTTCATTGTTTCTAGAAAATCCCGATTCAGACCCCTTGGATGAATACCCGCTCCCTATAGAGAAAAGAATAAACAAAAAGTCAGCAAAACACCATGAGTTCCATCTACTCAATCTCAAGCCGACCATCAACATGGTGCATGCAAATTCAGCTTTGGCATCTTACCAGAATGTTCATCATCTTCATCACTCTCCTCCTCTCCCTGTTCTCCATCGTCTTCATCCGCATCCTCCATACCATTTTCGTCATCATCATCATCATCATCCTCATCCACATCGACCCCCGCTCTCAGCAACGCCGCCTTCTTCCCCTTCCTCCTGTTGTTCCTCTTTACCCCCTTCATAAACGTCTTAAATCCACTACTCATACCCACCACGGCCTGTAAATGTTTGTCCATCAGCGTGATCGTTGTCGTTGTTGTTGATGACAACCCTCCTCCCGGATGCGACTCAGCCGCCTCGGTCTCCGCCAGCGCCACGGCCGTTTGTAGCGCGTTGCGAATTTCGCGCCCGTTCCATTTAAGCGCGAGGACGGAAGGGTGGTGGAAGGCATATTCCTTGGTTGATTGGGGAATGTAAAAGGATCTCTTCCCTCCTCCTCCAACTTGCTGGTTATTAGTACCGTCTGATCCATCTGAAGCAGAAGCAGAAGCAGAAGCAGAAGCAGAGGACGACGAGGACGAGGACGACGAGGAGGAGAAAGATTCCCGTTCCAACCTCTCAAACTGATACCCCCAAATCTTTTTCCTCTCTTCCTCCCCCAGCTCAGGATAATACAGCGCCACGTGAATTCTCGAGGTAAACGCATCATCAAAGGCCGCGACCCTGTTCGTCGTCAAAAAGAGCACTCCGCGGAAATACTCGAGCGCTCGCAGGAAGACGGACACCAGCCCGTTGCGCTTCAAGTCCCTCGTCCGCCGACGTTCCAAGTACACGTCTGCCTCGTCCAACAGGACCAACGCGCCGAACCGCTCGCCGAGTTCAAGAAAGTAAGAGAGGCGGCGCTCGACGGAGGAGGAGGACATGGATGTGGACAAGTCGCCGCTGGTGAGGGCCAAGAGTGGCCGCCGAGCTAGTTCGGAGATGCATTCTGCTGTGCAAGTCTTGCCTACACCAGGGGAGCCGTGTAAAAGGAAGATGCGGCCGAGACCTTTGTTGCGGACGAAATCGGTGGGCCAGGGGGCTAGCGCTGAGGAGGGGGAGGAGGAGGAGGCTGTCTGCTGTGGGGTGAGGATATCTTCTCTACCCGTATCCGCCGGAAGGGGGGGTTCTGTTGTTGACGAAGAAGAAGGAGGAGCGGCGGCGGCGAATTTGCCGATCAAAGACTTGACGGTCAACTTGATGGCCGGGTCCAAGACGAGGTACTTGAATGCATCGAGATCAGGACGGACGGGGCCGAGGCCAGAGAGATGGATGTAGGCCCAGCGCCGCTCGGAGAGAATGAAGGCTGGGATGGTGGGGGAGAGGACGTGGAGATATAGAGAGGCATTGTCGGGGAGGGAGTCGGTTGTGGGGTTCAGTTTGTCGAAGCCGACAAAGGGGCTTGGCTCGCTTCGTTGTTGTTCGCGACCCTCGTCGTTGGGAGGTGAAGATTTGTTGTTGCTACAGCAAGCAGGGCAAGCGCACTTGGACTGTACCTGCGGAAGGATATCCAAGTTCAGATGATCCCGGTTGCGCCGCGGTCGATCTCCTCCGTCGCCGAACCGCTCCCAGCCTTCGCAGTCGACGATGACCCGGCCCGTCGTCTGATACCCCCTTCCGCTCGCGGCGGTGTCGCCGTTGGTCACTTGCCCATCATATTCCATGTACGAAGGCTGCTTAGCCAGCTCCCAGTACAGCCTACCAAGCTTGACATTCTCGGCGGCGACTTCTGCAGCATGAGTGACAAAGCGCTCGGGGATGACAGACATGGAGTTAATCAGTCGCTCGCCTCGCCATGCTGAGATGGTGCACGACTTCATGCGCCTGCGCAACAGGCCACGGATGTACTGGATATTCCAGAACTCGAGATAGTAAGTATTGTTGCCCTCACCGTTGCCTTGGGCATCATAGGGGCCCTCGAGACGGACGAGACTGATGATGTATGGCACCAGGGTGCCGTCGCGGTCGCGGTAGATGACGGCACCCGGCTTAAGCAAAGTCCAGAAATTATCAAAGGTGGCCATGGGACCGCGCGGGTCCTCCTGGCGGAGTCGTTCGGCCACGAAGCGCTCGGAGAAGGTCATCTTCAAGAAGGAAAGGAGCACGTCGATGTGCTTGGCTGTGGTGTCTGCGTACTCGGCGTCGTGACAGCTGGGCTGATTGAGCTTATATAATTCCAGCTCCTTCCAGTGGTCGACGAGGACTTGGTAGGGGGCTCGGATGATACCGTGCTCGGGGGAGAATTCGCGGTAGTAGAAGACGACGGCGGAGAGGGCGGCTTTGAGGTGATCTGAGTGAATAACCATCTCGGTACGGTCTTTGGTATGAGGCTCCCGGTTGCGCCGGGTACGGGGTAGGTTGTCGCTGCAGTCGCTGTCGGAGCCGGACCAATACCGATCAGGCGGAGGATAGTGCGGCTCGTCGTAGTAGTCACTGCCGTTATATCTGGCGTAGACGGTGGTTCTGATTTCGAGAACTGGGGTGGGCTTGGAAGTCTCCTCGAGGTCGGTGTTGGAGGCCTTGGGATCCAGGGGCTTTGCGCTCTCCCGTGCTATTTTCTCTGTTAACTCTTGTTCTTTATTTCGATCCTGAAGATACCTTTACGTTGTGGTTTTGGCAATACTCACTTTCCATAAGCCGTCCGTTACTGGTGCAGTACTGGATGCTGTAGAGGATGTCCGGCATTTCATCATCCGGAATCCGCTGATGCTTGACGGTCTTGAAGCCAACGGCCTCGAAGCTGTCAACCGACCCTGATTCGTTGACCTGTGTGGTGTTAGCATCATGTTATCTATGTGAGTTCGTGATCGAGATGAGACATACATCCATCGGAGCCATTCTTCTTCGAACAACCCCGCTTATGTTAACTTCTTTTTTTAAACAGGCAGGAAGAGGACAAAGCTTGACTGAGTAGGAATTGAGATGGAGAAGAAAACACATAAGAAAACGAAGTGGTTACCCCTCTTAAGTAGGAGCTAAAAATATTATACATCGACGCCAAGGCAAGATTGTGAAGTCCTACTGTGCCACTTGGCGACACAGCCTACATGCGGATTTGTCTGACTGCAGATGTGAGTCGACAATCCTACGATCCAATTGTACAGCCCAATATTAGTTTGTTTGTTAGCTCGAAGCCTCGAGTTAACCTCTTTAAGCGTTTTCATAGTCAATGTATTCGTGTCGTTTCATGATCAAGGCGTGATCTTACCTTAAATACTCTGTCCGATATTCAATATATTATACTGAATCTCATTGATAACTTTCTAAACTATACCCAGTTATTCGTCTGATCCATGTGAGTTTTGGGACGATTTGAGATGGATTTCGTCCGGCATACCAGGAGTACCAAATTGATTAACGACCAGTATTAGCTTATATGCCATTGGTTCCCGCTTTTGCTAAGTGAGATTTCGTTCGTGTTTAATATCGGATCTACACTTCTGCCTACACATATCTGCTCAGTGGGCGTGTCTGCCTAGGAGGATATGACAACGAATGTAAGCTGTGTACGGTAAGCTTGGAACATGCCGAGACGTCGAACCATATGGGACTTCATGAGGTAGTCGTGCATAGTATCACTTTGTATGAGCGAAACGACGGTTGCACTGTTTGATAGCTCAAGTATAGACGGCTGTGAAGTGATGCCAACCCGGGAGATGGTGTCCCTCCACTGCGTTCCGTATTTCATAAACTCTATGTGACCTTTCGTAGGTCTAATGAACACTAAAGACGCCAGAAGAGGTACTCACAGTGGACGCCGGATGGTTTGTGTTGCCGAAGCCTGATGTTCAAGTGATATGATACACGCCAAGGTCAGACTGCGGGCCTCACAATTGATCCCTGGGTATCACCACAGATACCCCAGAAACACAACTTGTTGCTTTGGGATCAGTACCATACTGACGTTGAGTCCTGCTTCTTATGTTACAGAGCCACGGACTTGCTGAAAATCTTGGCGGGGTGTTATCCCCATGGAGCATGTTGTTGAACAGTTATGATACTGCACCCGTTGAGACATGCAAGGCCACAGCCCTTTCCTATCGTTCAAGAAGCATATACCTATTTGCCAGCGTTAGGCCAAGGAATGCCCGACTGGGGCTTGGTTTGTATCACAGAGAGGGGTTTGAAGCTTCCCCAAGGTAGGCTTCAGCTACCTTGAGCTACCCCGGTTCCCTCAGACACTGAGCGATCAGATCAGTTGGCCAAAAGGGGCGGGCTTGACAATGTTTGGAATATTTTCTTTGATATTTCTGGTTTCCGCGGTAGGCAACTTCGTGTACTGTTGTCTATCTTCAATAATGATTTTTTTCTTCACAAAATGACCGACCAATTTCGTGGCCGTGGTGTGGACTCCACTGGAGGAGACGAAGTGGTGAGATCTAGAGACAGCCGCTCCAACTTGTTGCTAAGTGTCTTGCCCAGCCTCACTGTGTCGGGATTCTGATCAAGTCGGACAACAAATGTAGGCCAATCCGATTGAATAGGTTGCTCTAGAGGAGCAGAGTGTATATCCGTGTCGGCCTCGACGTTAGCGAACTTTTTGAGCAGTTGCACGTCTTCGGGTCTCATCGCACTCGTCAGTACACGTAATACCGCTCGGGCAACGTAGACACTCTGGGCTTGCTCCCACATCCCCTTTGTTGCGAGAAGGACCGTTGACCGGAGCGTCTCAACATGGGGCGCCGCTGGGTTTTGGGCGATCGCATCAATCGTCATGTAGGCGAGCGCGCCCAGGAACTGCATCAAAAAGCTGTCCAAGGCTTCGAACCCGTGGCGAAGGTAATAAATGCGGATAAGTGTTTCGAATCGAACGGTAGCGTTTATGTAAGCGTCGTGTGGCGTATAGGGCGGGATCGTCTTGCCCGACAGTGTCCCGTTCCTCCATTCAGACGTAACTATGGGTCTTAGTATGTTGATGAGGATGAAGTAGAAGTGCATGTGCAGCTTGATTTGGTGAGGCGTCACAATTTTTCGCGGGGAAAGAGGTTCAGGTAGTTTGTGCAGCCAGTCAACCAGCCTATTGTAGAATCCGAGGACTTGAGGGATTGACAAATTCAAAGGGAGACCATGATCCCGAAAAGAAAGGAGGGAGAAGTCGTTCATGATGGTCCAAAGTTCAGCTTTCGCCTTGAATAAGAATCCCAAATGTGTAGGAAACCGTGATTGACTTGCGGGGTATTTTACCCAAATCTCACCGTACCACTGCGGATTCTCGATGGGATCCGGTAGGGGCACCTGAGGCGGATGCCTCATTATGGGAGTCCGGAAGTAGTGATATGAGTTTACACTAAGAAGGTTGTGAGCAATCACGGCCGGTGAAGTGGTTCAAGATCCTTGATAAGACATACCTCTGCCATGTAAACACTACCCAAGCCGTGAACTCTCTGACATCCCGCATCTCCCGGTCCATATCAGGTTGTGCAGGCCCGAAAAGGTTGATTTCATGGGCCATCTCGATCGCACGAAGAGAATAGCGCCACCCGATCTTATCGGAACCGTTGAAAAGATAGAGAACGTTTAGGAGAAGCCCGGCTTGTATGGTAGTTAACCGCCGTTCTTCCCATTCCCTCAGTCTTCGCTCTCCATTTGGATCATTTGACAAGGGTATAGGTCTTTCGAGTTCCGAGTCGATCTCAAAAAGCCTCTTGGCTTCTGCCAAGAACAAGTAAACGATATTTGCGGGGTTCCAGTACTCTGCCCGACCTTGGAGCCCACGGTGGTGGTACTTGAGAGACCTGTCAGTAGTGAAAATTACCAGGAACTGAAGATACGTACTGATCCTATGCAGAGAACTGCATTGACGAGGAGTCTAGAGCAAAAGCGATGACGGCCGTTCGCCATGTCATCAAGAAAGTAATCAAGATGAAGGAAGTAATTCCAGCCATAGTCGTACATTATGTAGTCATGAAGAAACTTTCGCAAAAGGGCATCATCAGTGCTCACTGAGGTCCACTGAGATGGCTGCATTTTCTCTAATCGTGAATTTTCCACAGTGGCGGAGTGGTATGGCTTATGATATGGATCGCTGTGTAAGTCAACGGCAGAACCGTGGGTTAAATAGGGGTTAATGCTTCGGCCTGCGGTCGAGACCGTACAATAAGGTTGTTGCTGAGAGCCGGAAAAAGATGGATGTGTCAGATGCTGGCGGTGCTGGGCATTTACAGCAGGAATACCGGGGGCAGACCGCCGTAAGACGCAGGCATAAACTTCGGAATCGAGATAGACGTTGTCGTGACGCTGCAAGAAGGCAGGCATGTCAGGCAAGTAGGGAAACTCGTATCGATATCCTGTCTCGGGGCCCAAGGCAAGCTCAATGAGAGCATTACCGAAGGTTATATGGCGGAGAATGGCGGCGGGATCGGCGCCTCTCCGGATGCGCTGGAAGACCTCTTCAGCCTCCTTTTCGTCCCTCGTCTGGAGGATTTCAAAGACTTTCTCGGCAGCCGATTTTGAGTTTTGGAGTTCATCATACTTGCGCTTGAGAGCTTGAGCATGGGTCTCGGCCACATTGGTGTCATATTCACAGTCAGTGCCGCGGTCATGACAGGCAGAGCATCTTGGACGCGTGCCATTACACTGCACAAGGAGGAAAAGGTGAGCCAGTGACCACTTGAAATGTACACACAGCGTCCTGGGTCTCAACTCACCTTGGACTTGCGCCTCCGACATGCACCACAGGCGGCAGTGGTTGCCTGTCTCTTTGACCGACCTGTTGGGACAGCGGACCGAGCTTGGGTTTTGGTGAGGGTAAGTTGTTCGGTAGAAGTACTAGTGGGCGAGGCCGAGGCGGTCGATCTGACGGGGGCTATGGGTCGTGAGGCAGCCTCTTCCAGCCCGACTGGTAACAAACGCCGCAGTGAACCCGAGTTGGTGAGAGTCGAGTTGAGATCGTCTGATGAAGAGGAACTACCCTGTGTGGGCTCGGGTGTCCTGGCCATAGTCAAGTTCGAGAAATCTGTCGAGTTCCGGATTGGGATATCATCATCAACGGGATGTCGGTCGGGTCAGAGTCCAAGATCGGTAAGTGGGTGTAGTCGGGGTTCGAGGTCAGTTAAAGTGTGAGTGCGAGTGTGTGAGTGGTGCGCGGTAGTGACTCGAGTTGATGAGGTGTGAAGTTGTGCTAATGTCAGGTTGATGATGTCCAGAGGTCTTGAGGTCGCAGAGTGCTTAGGTAGCCTTTTTTCCCTTTTTTTCCCTTTTATTTTTTTTGGTGGTTTTGCTCCTGTGTCTTTTCCAGCCAGTCCACGGTGCGGTAGAATCCTACAGTGTTCGACTGTGCGAAGAGTGCGTCAGTGTGTACAGAGCTGAAAGTAGGTAATGAGAATAGGATGAAGGTAGGTAGTTGGTTGTATATGGAAGAAGTACATGAGAGAAAATTCCAACGCCGCAGATGATGCGTAGGATGGCCGATCTACATGGGAGGTAGGTAGTCTTGGGGGGGCACGTTTCGGATAGCACCGCGAGCCCGCGACCCCTAACAAAGCGAGCCCCAAAAAAAGAACAATTTCATGATGGCTTCTTCTTCAACAAAAGGGCACGCGGATCCCTGGACTGATGGGCAACCATGACGGAATGTAGCTTAGTTCGGACTTTGCTCCGACTGCCGAGGGGATTCGCCATCCATGAGTGGTTGCTGTTGGTGGTGTTGCATCTCCACGGCTATCTCCTGGTGGAAAACTGGCGGCGATCCTGTTGTGCAACCGCTTTTCCATACTGGTGAATCCAGTAGTCGGTCCAGTCCGTTCCACAGCTAGTGAGCTGAGGTGGCGGGTGTGGAACGGGGGTCGTCGGGCCCGGTGGAGGGGGGGGGAGGGGCAGCAGTTGTTGGCAGGCTATGGCGGCTCGGACGGGTAGGCGAATGCCCGGGGGAGACCGGAGATACAAGGGAAGGACCAATGTGGAAAGTCAAAAAGGGAACCCTTACACTATAAATTCTTATAGGGTTTGCCAAGCAAGCCCGACCTACACTACCTCTACTCCCCGTTGGACGACACGCTGGCCCGCACATGAGACATCCATGGACGAGTCGGCTGGCTGCCAGCAGAAGGGAATCCATCTTTGGGTCCAGCGAGCCAGCCTTTCCAGGTCCTCGGAATCTCGGAAATCTCTTTTGGATTGTCCAGACTCTCGTCCAAACTGCCGTCCAGAGTGCTGATGCAGACAGGCAAGCCCAGAAAGGGGTTGGTCGGCCGGGGGCTGCTCCGACGAAACTGCGAAAAGTCATGACTGCAACCTCAAGGTGTTAAGATACTGGGCAGCTTCGCTATGTTTACACTGACAGTTGCCCAAAGAGGTCCATCGGGCCAGTTGCCGTCCCACAGGGGCACCCATTGGTCAGCACTTCCTGGCATCTTCAAGTCCCGACCAATTCACATCCGCTCTGCCATCCACGCCATGTTGAAGGGCCATTAACACATCACAACATGTCAATTTCAAGCCGATGACGGGAGTCGCGATGCGAGGGGGATTCTGCTTCACGATTTGAAAACATGTGGTAGTAAGCATGGAGAGACCATCAACCATGGACATGATTACCTCTAGGGATTAGAGGTATTCGACGTATATTCTGTACCAAGGTACCTACCTCTCAGAAATGCACGCTCACAAAAATAATATGGGGCCAATCCTCCAAGGGGCACTGGGGCTTCCCGTCTCTCCCCATTCTGCCAGCCTGGCGGGCCCTGTTAGTTTTCCCGCAGTGGCAGTGACTCAATCAACCCTGGCAGCCCATCCCGCAGGCCAGGCCCGATCTCGCCCTGGCCCGTATAAAACAAATCTCTCCATTATCCATCTTCAACTTTCTCATTCTTTGTTTTCCATAACTCAACGTCCCCTTCACAAAAATGGCCCCTACCGTTCTCCACCTCCGCAGCGAGACCAAGCATCTCGAGCATCGGTCTGCGCTCACCCCCACCACCACCGCCGAGCTCATCAAGGCTGGCTACATCGTCAACGTCGAGCGCTCCCCCGAGCGAATTTTCGACGATGAGGAGTTCGAGAAGGCTGGCGCCACTCTGGTGCCTGAGCACAGCTGGGTCGATGCTCCCAAGGAGCACATCATTGTTGGCCTGAAGGAGTTGGAGGAGAAGGATTTCCCTCTCAAGCACGTTCATGTTCAGTTCGCTCACTGCTGTAAGTTTTGCCACGTCCAGCACTTTTTTGGTGGCCAGGAGAATTATTGCTGACTCGAGACAACACAGACAAGCAGCAAGCTGGTTGGGAGAACGTTCTTGCCAGATTCCCCCGCGGTGGCGGCACTCTTCTTGACCTCGAGTTCTTGGTTGATGAGCACGGTCGCCGTGTGGCTGCTTTCGGCTTCCATGCTGGTTTCGCCGGTGCCGCCCTTGCCCTGGAAGTGTGGGCTTGGCAGCTCAACCACAGCGAGCCCTTCCCCGGCGTCGAGAGCTACCCCAACGAGGATGCTCTGATTGCCGACGTCAAGAAGGCTGTCAAGGAGGGTGTTGAGGCGGCTGGCCGTCTTCCCCGCGTGATCGTCATTGGTGCCCGTGGCCGTTGCGGCTCCGGTGCCGTCAGCGCTCTCAAGAAGGCCGGTATCCCCGATGAGAACATTCTCGACTGGGATATGGCCGAGACTGCGAAGGGCGGTCCTTTCAGTATGTTTTGGAACCAGCACACCCCTAGGATTCGCCAAATTTGGAACAGAAGTACTGACTACCATCACAGAGGAGATCACCGACAGCGACATTTTCGTCAACTGCATCTACCTCACCAGCAAGATTCCCAACTTTGGTATGTGTATTTCCCTTCCTTTCCCCCCTCCCCCTTTTCTGGGGGACAGCTAAGTCACTACAAAGCCGGAAATTCGGTCTCACTCCCAGCCTGGCCCTCATCCACATATTCCAGCCTCCTCCAGCAACAGCCTTCCCCTCACCAAAAAAACAAGAACCGGGAGCACCCTCAACTAACAAAGTACCAGTGAACATGGAGTCCCTCCAGGTCCCCAACCGCCAGCTCCGCGTGGTCTGCGACGTCTCCGCCGACACCACCTCTCCCTTCACCCCGGTGCCCATCTACACGGTGGCCACGACCTTCGACAAGCCTACGGTTCCTGTCGACGGGCTGACCTCGGGTCCTCCTCTCTCCGTCATCTCCATCGACCACCTCCCCTCGCTTCTGCCGCGCGAGGCTTCCGAGGCGTTCAGCCATGATTTGCTTCCCTCGTTGCTTACGCTTAATGACTGGCAGAACTCGCCTGTCTGGGCGAGGGCGAAGCAGTTGTTTGATGAGAAGGTTGCTACTTTGCCGGAGAGTGCCCTCCAGAAGTAAAAGGCCTCTCTTTTGAAGAAAAATGAGCACGGGCGGAGGAAAGTTTACGGACTTGATCGCTTTTTATGAGGGAAAAAAATAAAAGGACGTATGCAGGGACCGAAATTTCTCAAAAAAAATAAAACGAAGCGTAGAGAAAAGGAGAACGGATGTGAAACAAAATTCAAAAGACACTTGTACATGACAAGAGACTAGAAGGGAATAGCTCATGAAGATATGACGGACGGACGAACTAAATCAATAGATGCCGACAGACGGCTTCATTCCTAGAAAAAGGCAGAAGTAGACAAGGGCAGTGTCGAGAAAGGCACGAGAGTAGAACTTGGTCATTTCACTCAACTAGGGAAACTGTTCACGCAAGTATGGATATCACACATTTGGACATTGGAAATTTCCCCTTACGATGAGAGTCTTCAAGGATAAGTCGGTTTTGTTGAACAATGCTTTTGAACATTTCGATAATCATCCTGTTTCCGTACGGAAAATACCGCAAAATCATGACGTTTATCTTCACAATTGTCCGGACTCGAATTCTCTTCTGACTGCATAGAGTACGGAGAACAACGCGAACCACGAACATCGTACAATCATCACGCCACTGGCAAAAATAGCGAGTATCATGATTGTGTTGCAGAGGATGGACGGCAACAACTGACGATCGCATCCATGATCAAGTAGCCAGATGCAGATCACAGACGGGGATGCATCGATACACGAACCCACAAAAAACACACACAAAAACGCAAACACGCACATGAATAATTCAAAGGACGAGCGAAAATGGTGTGATCCATCAAGAACAAGTTCCCTTTTAAATTCCAGGCAACGTCGCCTATCGACGTGCTCAAGCCTTCTCTTTTACAGGCTGAATCTATCTGCGTTCTATATCGCACAACATCTTGATTCCGTGTGATCCCTCAAATAGTTCCCATTTCAACAATCCCATGATATCGCCACCGAACTCCATTGCAACCCGCATAACCCTTTTTGAAACCCAATCATCCAAATCCACTGACCATTCAGGATAGAAAGCTGAAGCGTTTAAGCGTAAAGCTTCTTCTCATAAGACTCCATGTTAACGCCGCCTTCCAGCTGGGCGCTAGCAGTGCGGATCTCGAAACGAACAGTGCCGTTCTCGACACACTCGTGGAGCTCCTGGAGGCTGGTCATGCCGCAATCCTGCAGAGAGTGTTTCAACCCAGCAGCAAGATAGGGGACGAACTTGTTGATAGATCCTCTGTGAGCGACAGCGCCAGAGACACCCTGGGCAACGAGGATGCTGTCACCCTCAGAGAAGTAACGAGCGGTACCAGCGTTGCTCTTCTGCGCGTCCTTGCCACCACCGCCGGCCTTCTTGTCCTGCATGGCGTCGATGGAACCCATGCCACGGTAAGCCTTGACAAGCTTACCCTCACGGGAGACGAAGGAAGTACCGGGAGATTCGGTGGTACCGGCAAGGAGACCACCCATCATGACGGTGGAGGCACCGAGAGCGAGACCCTTGACGATGTGGCCAACGTTCTGGATACCACCATCGGCAATGCAGGGAACGCCGAAGCGAGCAGCGAAAGAGGATACGTTGTAGACAGCAGTAGCCTGAGGACGGCCAACAGCCATGACCTCCTGGGTAATGCAGGCGGAGCCACTGCCCATACCGATACGCAGACCGTCGACACCAGCAGCGATCAAAGCAGCAGCCTGCTCGCGGGTAACAACGTTACCGCCGATGACATCGAGATCGGGGAACTCCTTCTTGATCCACTTGATCATCTCAATTTGGTACATGGAGTTACCCTGAGAACTGTCAAGGATGACAATGTCGAGGCCAGCGTCGACAAGCTTGGCAAGACGGTCCTTGTCCTCGGGACGGGTACCAATAGCAGCGGCGCAGATGAGCTGCTTGGAGTCCTTGGTCTTGGAGGCAAGGGGGAAGTGAAGGTTCTTGGTAAGATCGGAGCGGGAGATCATAGAGACAAGATTGCCCTCCTTGTCAATAATGGGAAGCTTGCCCTTCTTGGACTCGGCAAGGATCTTGTTGGCTTCGAGAAGATTGACACCAGCGGTAGCGGTGATCAGGTCCGTAACCATGACTTCCGAAACGGGCTTGTCAAGATCAGTCTCGAACTGAATGTCGCGGTTGGTGACGATGCCAACGAGCTTGGAGCCTAGATGGCCAGATTCTATTTGAAGCAAAGTCAGCACAAGCTCCCAGAAGCGATGTAAGAATTGTGCTGCAGGTTTCAAAAAGTAGGGTCCAATCAGGATTTTCAGTGTATTTGTTTCCTCATGACGCATAGGTCGATATGGTGGAACGAAAGTTATGATTTATAGGTTTATCATCAGGAAGACCAGGGGGAAGCAGAGAACAGAAAAGCGGTGGGAATAGACTCTTACCAGTGACCGGGAAACCACCGAAACCCCACTTCTCCTTCAAGGCCTTGGCCTCGCCGATAGTGGTGTCGCGGGTGATGACGACGGGGTCGAGAATGAAGCCGTTCTCGTAGCGCTTGACCTTGCGGACCATGTCGGCCTGCTCGTCGGGGGAGCAGTTGTGGTGGATGACACCGACACCGCCCTGGAGAGCCATGTGGATGGCCATCTCGTGCTCGGTGACGGTATCCATGGGAGAGGAGACCAAGGGGGTCTTGAGGGTGATACGCTTGGTGATGGGCGAATCGAGGGTGACGGCCGAGGCAGGGAAGCCAATGTAACCCGGAAGGAGCAGGAAATCATTGTAGGTAAGGCCGCCCTGAAGCTTGGAGTCCATGAGGTCACGGATGTCGAGGCCATCGCGACGCTCATACTCCTTGAGGACCTCCATGGCGGAGGTGTGGTCAAGGAAGGTGTTGTTGCCGTTTACTGCCATTTTCTGCAATCAATGAAGATGAGAAGGGCAAAATGATGCAAGGGCAAGTGATGTATATTAAAGACAAAGGGTTGATTCTTTGGGGGGAAGTCAGCGACGGGTATGTAGTGGTTGGATCAGCCGACTTTTCCCCCCCCCAAGAAAACGAAGAGGAAAAGACAAGATCTGGGAGTTTGCCTTCGAAATTTTTTTTTATGGTCCAGACCCTGCAGCCCCCGACCGCGGGGCTTTCTGCCGGGCGGTGGGTGGTTTGAAGAGGGTCGCATGTGGAGTATAGCGTGACTCGATGAATTCCCTCTGTGTCGCTATCATTGGGCTGTGGGAATTAGCCTACGTTTATGTTAAGACCGGACTTTTGCATTTCAACTTCAGTCTGGCGCCGTGAAGAAGCAGCGCCGATTTTACATTTCATCCCATATCAGTCATCTCATGTCACTTCCATTGCCATCTATGTCTGCAGATGAATTTCGATTGCAGTTTACCCAGTCGGGAATTTCTCCGTTAATGTCTCTGGTTATCCTTTGGGTTGCTTCAGCGGGGGCAAGGAGGGAACATCATGAAGTTGTCCTGAGTCATCCGAGTCCGGCTGCCTCGCTGACTAAACCTAGCTGTCGACTGTCTACAAGTACTGCCATCCTCCGGCTTCAGACACAGAGAAATTCGATGTTTCGGTCATGTTGGAATTCGGCGGACCTGGCTCCGCCCGCTCCGTTGTGCGGAACGTCCGTGCGGCAGTTTCAAGTTTACAGTTGCGCCCATTCGGCCCTTGCGGTCTTTTGTAGGACCGCCAGCGGGACTAGGTGCCCGAATGAGGTCACCCGCCAAGAGGATAGGGTACTGTGTACCTAGCTCGGGAGGGAGCACTTGGCTCGAGCTCAATCTGGTCTCAGCGAGCTCAAGCCTCCCGTCGAGGTCTCCCCTCGTCCCGTCTCTGGTTGCTAGGGCGGCACAGGGCGGGCAGACACATGGGATGGTAAACAAATGGGCAGCAGCTGCAGGGCAAGTCCGGGTGGGCAACGGGCAGGGCGACCACCGTCCACAACAGGCCACCACAGGCAGCCAACCACTGCCGGCCGCCGCATCCAAATCTCGTGTTCCCCCTCCATTTCCCAACCGCCCACTTTCTTCTTCTTCTTCCAAGCCCAAGTGGAGGGCGGGTACTGCAAGTCACTGGACACCCCCCATGTCCGTCTCGCTTCTCCAAGAGCCTACAGCCCGCCAAAGCCGCCTCGCACTTGCCTTGCCTCGCCTTGCTTGCTATTGCATTTTCCAAAGTCCCGGTTGTCTGTTTTGTTTTGGTGCAGGAGAGCAGACGGAATGAAGCTATTCCCATCATAGTGCCTTGATCATCGCATTCCTTTGTCTCGTAGGTGTGCCAGTTTCCCTAGAGATATCGATTCCTTCACGTGCGCTGCGCGCAGTCAACCTTCCATTTCCGAACTCGACCCACGAGTGAAGAGACAGATCTGAAGCCGGTTAAGCGCCCGCGCGCCATGTCCGCCAACTTCCAACTGCCATCATCCACCACTCCGTACTTGTTGGTTAAGTTTTAGGTTTTAATATATCATCGCCCTCACTACTCGTCCCGTACGCATGCCCGATTCAGTTCACGCCTATCCCGCCCCCCAATCTTTACTCGCTCTGACAAGGCGACAGTGAACAACCGTCGAGTCGTCCCCCCCCGACCACCCGCTTGGCACTCAACTCGAGCCTGATCTTCGGCCTGCTCCACACTCACGGCAAGACGAGGGACGATCCGCGCAACCGCATCGCAAAGCCGCTCGCTCTGATGTGGCCGGCAACCCTCGGTCTCTACGAAACGATTTCCGCGTCCAAATCCTCCTTCCTCCGGTAGCCTCGACAACTCGCCCAACATGTCGTCGTACAAACCGCACCCCCTTCGTCAGACACAGACCGCCGACTACTCGGTTAATAGACAATCCTCCACCACATCAACATCATCATCAGGGTACTCGGCCTCTTCCATAGGACAGTCGGATATCAGTCGACCCATTAGCTCCTTGTCTACAGCAACCAGCGTCTACTCCCAATATGGACACAAGCGGGGCCAAAGCGAGGCGAGCCGACTACCCCCAAGCCTGTCTGGTGGCTCACACACCCTCCCGTCTACGCCGACAAGCGACAATATCTACAAGAATGCCCGCCAGTCCCTCCGACCGACATCTCAAGCCTCTACGGGAGCAGCGCCCGCCAGCAGCAGCATATCGACTGCGGGTTCGAGAATCGCGCCGCGCACGCCCACACCAGGCCACCACGATCGTGGAAAAAGTGTTGACATCAGCAAGCTGTCCATCGGAGAGTATGAGACCTCAACTACCCATCGCGAACGCGGTCAGAGTCTCGACAACGGCAAGCCTCTGGCGACTGAGCGCCCACGGATATCGCCTACGGGAACTGTTCATGAACGTCTAGCAAGCTTCGATGTCAGCAAGTCCTCGGTACCGGAACGTCCGCGGATATCGCCTACGGGTGCCCTCCACGAGCGCGGTCATACTATCGATATGGGCAAATTATCGATTAGCGATAATACACGTACTTCGTCAGGCATGTCTCCGACCGTGACATCGCCTCCAGCAACTTCTCCAACGACCCCTTCAACGCGAAGACCGGCTTCCATGTTTCTATCCAGATCAGATTCTGTGCGTGGAGGAAGTGACAATGGGTCAATGGCTCTGGTACACGCACACTCGAGTCCCATTGCCCTCGCTCGTCCGGATCTGGAAAAGTTGGGTCGTTCATCGACAAGCCAACTCCGAACACTTTCTCAGTTCGCACAAGATGGAACGGCGGGAGAGCTTGCCATGATATCTCCGTCGCAGGAAGTTGTTGGTCTTCGCGGACGCCGTAGGTTGCAAAGAGCTGACAAGTCTGTAGCGGCGCGTCAAAAAAATGGCGGCTTTGGTTGGGAGACAAAGTGGATGGACAAGCAACGGCAGTTTCTACAGGCTTATGAATACCTTTGCCACATTGGTGAAGCGAAGGAATGGATTGAGGATATCATACAGCGTCCGATCCCCCCGATTATCGAATTAGAGGAAGCTTTGCGAGATGGAGTTACTTTGGCCGAAGTGGTCGAATCCCTCAACCCTGAAAAGAAGTTCCGCATTTTCCGCCATCCTAAGCTTCAATACCGCCATTCAGACAATATCGCCATTTTCTTCCGTTACCTCGATGAAGTCGAACTTCCCGACCTCTTTCGATTTGAGCTTATCGATCTGTACGAGAAAAAGAACATCCCGAAAGTTATTTACTGTCTCCATGCTTTGAGTTGGCTTCTCTTCCGGAAAGGGATTGTCGATTTCCGCATCGGGAATCTGGTCGGCCAGCTTGAGTTTGAAGACCATGAGCTGGAGGCGATGCAGAAAGGCCTCGATAAGCTGGGGGCTAGTATGCCTAGCTTCGGCAATATGGGTGCCGACTTTGGAATTGAGCCAGCTGAACCCGAGGAGACGGAGGAGGAACGCATTGAGAGGGAACTGGCCGAAAACGAAGAGACCATTGTAGAGTTACAAGCCCAGGCCAGAGCGGCGCTTCAAAGGATACAGCTCGGCTACACTATGCAACATCTGTGGGATAATGAAGACTGGATCATTGATCTCCAGTCTCGTATTCGTGGTGACTGGGCTCGCCAGGTGGCGGATTACAGGCTCCAGATGAAGAATTTCGCGGTCCAGCTTCAAAGCGCAGCGCGCGGTTTCCTCGCCCGCCATCGACATGCAGAAACAAAGGCACAAACAAATTTTGCGATCGAGTTGCAGAAGACAGCACGTGGATTTATTGCTCGTCAGCAATATGCACAAACATGTTTCACGATTCAGCTACAAAAAGCGGCGCGTGGATATCTTGCTCGTCGCCAGCAGACACAAACCGAGGAGCAGTTCAAGGGCAACGAGGATGTGGTCTTGAAACTCCAAAGTATGGTCAGAGCGGCCAAGGTCCGCAATGTGATTCGGGAGCAGCATTCACAGTTGGAGACGGCAGCGGGACCCCTGCGAGACATTCAAGCGACATTTCGAGGATTTCTGGCTCGAAAGCAGCTCGCCGTGCAACATGAAAAGACAGAGAGCGAAGGCGCTACGATTGCTCAACTTCAGAGTGCAGTTCGTGGTATGATATTGAGGAAGAATCTGGAGGAAGAAAGAGCATCCTTGGAAAGCAACATTGAAGCCATCACTAGTCTTCAGGCTGCTGTAAGGGCCATGAAAGCGAGAACTGAGGTCGATGCTCAGCTACAAGCCCTTGAAGGCTTTGCGCCACAATGGACAGCCATCCAAGCTGCCTTCCGCGGCAAGGTTGCTAGGTCCGACGTTGATGTCACTAAGGAAGAGTTGCAGAAGCATTCAACTGAGATGGGCCTTCTTCAGTCCCACATTAGGGCAGCGGCAGTGCGGAGGGAGATATCAGAGCAGCTTGAAAGCATCGGGGAGACGGAGGATGCCATCATTGATCTTCAGTCTATGGTCCGAGGTATGCTTGAACGTATGAGGTTATCCGACGATCTGGATGCTCTTACTCAAGAGACACCCAACATCATTGACCTTCAAGCACACATCCGCGGATGTCTTTACCGTAAGGAGTGTGGCGAGTTGTTGGATGAGCTTGCAGTCAATACCGAGGAGATCACCGAACTGCAAGCCCTTGCTCGGGCCATGTTGCTTCGGAGCGATGTTGCAATGGTCTTGGATGAACTGGAACAAAACGAGGAGTCTGTAGCGGCGTTCCAGGCTGCTGCCAAGGCTTTCGTGGTCAGAGCCAAGTACGAGGAGAAGAAGCGCTTCTTCCGGGAGAACATGCAAAAGGTTGTCAAGATTCAGAGTTTCGTACGAGCCAAGCTTCAGGGTGAAGCCTACAAGAGCTTGACATCTGGAAAGAACCCACCAGTCAACGCCGTCAAGAACTTCGTCCATCTTCTGAACGACAGCGATTTTGACTTCAATGAGGAGGTAGAGTTTGAGCGCCTACGGAAGACCGTTGTCCAACAAGTTCGGCAAAACGAGATGCTGGAGCAATACATCGACCAGCTAGACATCAAGATCGCACTTCTCGTCAAGAATAAAATT